TAAGTATTGCCTCTTGCAGGAAGTATTCCTCCAGTCTTGCCATATAATTTTTCGCTAAGATGAGAGACAGGCAAGATCACATCGCTAATCCTTATGTTTGTTCATATAACTTACCATCAAAGGTAAATATGTGGTACTCATGGATAGTTTAACAAGTCTAATAATGAAAGTTACACTCAGCCTTTTTCCTTGTATTATCTCTGAATGTTCCTCCAGAGTTTGTATCATAGCTTAAATATCTCCTTGCACAAGAATGTTTTTGTACGTAGACACAACATCAAAACTTATTAGCCTATCCACTTCTGAAAGTGTTTGCTGATCTATCAATTTTACAAAATCATACTAATTTTTAACTGAATATAACCAAAAATTGGCAGGGTTCCTTAGTTGTATGCATAAAAGCCGTGGGATTTTATGTATTACGCTTCCTTTATTATTCACAACTAATCTTAGAGAGATACACTCTTTGTGAACCTTAGGGAGACCGTAAACCATGTGGACCCTTGCATCTCTCTGTAGTAGTGAATTCATTTCACACTTCTCCATTTCACAATTACTTACGCATACCTTAAGGGCATCCTTTTGCCTAGTCTTAAGTCTTTCTGCTGGGTCTCTCAATAAAGGTCTATATGTGTCATTGTCATTTAAATGAACTAGCATTTTTTCTACATAACTTGCTCCACCTTATTCGGCTTTCCTTACGATTAGATTACTACTACACAGATATCTAGAAACCTTACAAAGATTTAAATCTTTCTTTGGTGGTATTATTTGGTCAAAATGAGGGACTACCTCCAGTTCAACACTCTTCCTTACCACTTCAGGCAATCTATCAGATAAGCCAATTGATTCATCGAGTATTTCCAGATTATGGTTTACCTCATTTGGAAGAGCAAAATTCAATCCTCTTTCCAATAAAAGTAATACACTATCCTCCAGAGTTGTACTAGATAAATTTATTACCTTATCCTTCTACACTTTGATACAACCATGGTTAGTACGACTTATCTTAGGCGCAAAGTTTCTCGACCTAATACTTATTGCTAAATTCCGCAGTTTCTTATCATGTACCCAACACGTCATTCTGTCCGTCGCCTTTCCTAACCCGTCAGCCATGCCTTGTAAATTAATGAAATCCACATCATTCATTACTTCAGAAAGGGATTGCCTAAGCCTAATTTTGGTTGTAATTAGTTCGTGTAGTTTGTTAATGCTTTCATTGAGCCTAGTTTTAACCAAACCACACGATACGTGATCAAGTTCCCTATTGGTGGACGTCGATAGATTAAAACGTCTACTGAGTAAACACCACATAGGAACGACATTATGAGAAATACAAATCTAAAAAATCTAATTATATTAACTTGCAGGTATATAGTTTTCTTGGTTATAGTGTAGCGATAAGACAAATGATGAGAAGTCGAACCGTACGTACATTGTAGATATGAAGAAAAGTATTCACACTATTTATTTGTGAGAAAATTCAAATATTAATCCTTCATTGTCTTAAACAAAATAAGGTAAATATGATACTTCTCAAACGAAATAAGACCATCTTGCTTCACCTGGCCTACTGAAATGACTGACGGTAGATCTTTTCTGATTAGACTTAATCAGAGACTTCAGCATTGATGTAAATAGAAGGCCTCGAATTTCATTTAATCTAATCAAAGGTCTGAAGACCAAGTTAATATAACCTGTATTTAAGTCACAGTCTCCTTTTGCTTTGTGGTAGTTGTTTGACATAATAGTTTCTACTTGCTTGTGCCGTTAGGGTGACGCTGGAAATTATCATGACTACTATGGCAAAAGACTGTGACTTAGATATTTTTACCTGGATCACCTTGACGACATGACCAAGTATTTTTTTTCTTTTTATAAGCAGGTTTGCGTGACTACAATTAGATCATATATATGAGATGTATTCTCTCTATTTCGGTATGTTTCGAGTCCAGCTGGGGGTGCTCATGAGGCCAGTTAAGGAGAAGTCGATATTGTAGCCCGCTCCTGTCCGATGAGAATGCCTTTTGAGAAACCAAGGTATGTGAAATTCATTGGAAACGTAAGGTCTACTCCTATGAGAGTGGGAAAGTGCAACTAAGTGTCCTTCATCACCTTCACAAAATAGGGTCAAATGTATGCAACGAAGGGACACTGCGACCAAAATAAATATTATACCATCTAGAAATGCTTCGACTATACTATCTCTCCTACCATCAACCTTAGTCTTTAAGTGTTGGTTCGACCTCGTTTTCACAACTTGGTCGGAGCGACAGAGAGATCTTGTGAGACGCACCTAGTCCTGTATCCTCCGCCATAGCATTCAGGATGATCTCCAGCATCTGACCATTGATTTGGTACATTCCCAGTTGAGTTTGACAAGTTGTAATTCCGGGCTGACTATACTATCCACGATGCCGGCGAAACGTCTGGGAATGTACCAAATCAATGGTCCGATGCAGGAAATTTTCAGGAATACCATGACAAAGGACACAGGACTGGGCACGTTCCACAAGGTCTCCTTGACGCTTCGACCAAGTTGCGAAACCGAGCCTTTAAGCCTGCCAACGGGGCATCATCATCATTCGTCGAAAGAAGTTAATTTTATAGAAAAGCCCGTGTCTGCGTGCGCAAGTGGAGAAGAGCTGAGGCATACACTCAGGCACTCAGATACGCCAGCCTGCACACAGTCACGTGTCTGTGGTATGGGACATTGCGTTTCATATGGTCGTGATGGGATGGCAGAATGAAGCGCCGGCCCATCTGATTGGCTGAGCTTAGCAGTGCCATTGGCTCACGAAATGTACCCAGTCGCCAGCAACCAACCATCGCTTGACTTGACCCGACTTTGCCAGCCGGACCTATCCTTTTTTGCTGGCTGGGCAGGCTGGGCCGGTGTCTCTCATCCTCAACACACTGGATCATCTCTACAACTTATTCCGTCCCGTCGCTTCGCTTTTTCGCCCTCCTCACGCAGTGGATTTCGGTTGCCGCCTCGACAACCATTGCTGGAAGGCCCGATGCCAGCGCTGTGAGACGCTGGCGTCAGGTAAACACACGTCAGTTGACGACCCAACTGTTGGCATCGCTTCATGGGTGCTGGCTTTGCCAAAATTCACAGACACGGAAAGGTCGATCGGAAGCCCAGGAAACGGACTATGCTCGAGTCGCCTGCTATCAAAGTCTATCGGGATACCGGTTGTCAGACAGAGACGGCGACAGTAAGTAATTGGCTTTGCGACTTTTTCCTGTACTACCCTCTTTCTCAACCTGCTGCTGCCTTCATACAACTAAAAATGGCAATTATCAACTAAAATACTTCATTATATTCGGATTGAGTAGGTTTTGAAGCTAACTGTAGATCTTGAATACGAGTTTTATTCATCCTAGGTCGCATAAGGTGATTTCCCACAATCATGATTCCATTGAATTTTACATAGCCTTGCTTCCTAAAAGGCATTCTCATCCAGACTGGACTTGACTGCAAATGAACCTTCCGGATTCTCATCCGCATCCCCAGCGGAAATCGAACCAGACCATTGGTAGAGCAGCGCATATTTTCCACATGCTCCCACCATGCCAAACTGCCATGGAGTACACTGGTAGTTCCGAAACCTACTTACTCCGAAGAAAAAAGTAGTGTAATAGATTGTAGCGTCAAATAGAAGCTTGTCTCATGGAAAATTCCAGCACAAAATATGACGTTGAAGAAGTCTGGTTTGTCTTCAAGTTCAAGACAATCCTTTAATCCACTAGCACCCGTGAAGGTGTGCCGAAGTGTTTCGAATTATTGTGGGAAAAGTAAACCAGCAGTCCTTCATCACATTTGGTCTCACAAATTTTATTGCATACAAGAATAGATGTTGTTTTTTAGGGGCGTTTATTCGTCTGCACGTGTTGAGCTTACTTCCACCTTAAGTGAAAGGGTGTATTAATGAAATTTGAATGTCGATCACACC